CTCTTCAACTTCCTCATCGCCATCATTGTCGACGCCTTCATGACCATCAAGGTCAGTCGCCCCTTCACGCTGCCATTTCTGGTCTCCTGTTCTTTTCTTGCTTTCGTATTGTCATCCGAGCCCTCTTCTCATCACACTCGTCCGCTCTCGTCCCTCTGCCCTACCTCGCCCCTGGCACCCCCCTCGCCTGCCGCCACCAGGAGACCCAGGAGCTGGCGACGTCGATAGCGGAGGACATGGGCACCATCGTGCGCTACCTCTTCTGCCGCCTCACGGGGCGCTACGCCTCCTACTCCTCCATCCTGCACCGCTTGAAGCAGCTCGGCGCTCGCGACTTCACCGCGGACGAGGCGCAGCGCCGTATGCAGCGGTACCAGTCGCTGCAGCGCCGGGCCAAGACGACCGTGATTCGAGGGTTCTGCGGGAGGAAGGCTGCGGAGGTGGAGCGAGCCAAGACGATGGCGGCAGGTGGGGCGGGGGCGGTGGCGGCGCCGCAGAGGGTGCTGCAAGTGAAGGGGCAGAGCATTGATGACATCTCCCTCGCCATGATCCTGCAGCGCCGCCACTCCACACAGGTGCGTTGGGCGGGCCTTCTGAGGGCGGTTGTTTCCTGAAATGAGCGCTTTCCCTGATTAGCTGCAGGAGTGAGTGACACTTGGAACGCACGCCAGTTGTTCGCAACCGCTTTTGTGCCAGCTGATCCTAACGCACTCTCTCCCACTCTGCGCTGCGTCACCAGGTGCTGCCGTACTCGCCAACAGGCGGCCCAGACCAAGAGGAAAGCGTGACTGGTTCGGCTCCTGCTGTGGAGGAACTTTCTCAGCAGCTTCTGCAACAGCTAGGGGAGAATGAAGCCCTTTTCACCACACCAAAGCCACTCAGCAAGCCAAAGCCGGGCCTGCACCAGATCCAGGTGTGCTGGCTTCTTCTTCTGCTGCTGCTACTGCTGCCGCCGCCTCCGCTGCTTTTGCTGCTGCTGTTCTTGTGTCACTCATGTGCATCCCTGCTACTGTGGGACCTCATGCTCTTTCGTTTTCTTGTCTGCTCTTCCCTTACTTCTCACCCTACCTCGCCTTTTCCCACTCCCTCTGCATGGCAGGAAGAGCTGGTTCACTCACGAGAGTCATTGGAGGAGCTCAAGGCCATGGTGGCTTCCCTGCAGGCGTCACTGCTGGTTGCTGCTGCCAACGGTCCTTCCTCTGCCTGCCCCCACTGCTCACATTGCCCTCATTGCCCTCATCCTGACGCCACCCACAAGCCCACCATGCCCACCGCCGGCACCACCAGCAGCGCCACCACTACCTTGAAATCTGCCCCGCTTCGAGCTGCTACCTTTCAGGCCAATGGTTCTTCCCCAATGGTGTATGGTCCAGCACAATTGCCCCGTCTCGCTACATATCCTAACGCTCAAGTGCAGAGAAGTATTTCTCACTCCCCCACAGCTCGTTCAGCGCACCAGCATTATATAAGATGGAACCAGACAGAGACGGAGAGGCCACCATGGATGGTGTAGAAAGGGGGTGTAAGAAATTTAGAGGTAGCACCAAATTTTGATGAACTGTTGGACACACATCATGAATTTAAGATGATGATTGCCTGACCTGAGGGCTGTTGAAATTTTAGTAACAACACATACAAAACGTGTCCATATTAAGAGATTTCAGTGCGGTTGATGAGACGTTTTCCGGGTTTCCTTGGTGTCTGATCTCATTAAATGCGAGCCAATGATAGCGCTAGACCGTGACAGCTCATCCCCAGCGCTGTCTCCCATAAATCATCGCGCGCTAGGCGCTCAACGACAGACGACCTAGGATATGTACAGTGTTAGCACATGGCAATCCTTACAGTGCAGAATCCTGGGATGAGTGAGGGGCGCATGGGAGGGACTTGAGGTTGGATTGGGTTGGTTGGGGGGGGAGCTGGTTGAGTTTTGACTGGACTGCACAGAGGGAAGAGATGATGGATTCTGACGTGGAGACTTGACCTTGTCGGACGAATAAAAACATCGGTGCAACACGATCCTATGCGCTTCTAGAATGTTTTGCGATGTTACCGCTCGGTGCCTCTAGGTCAACAGATGTCACAGGAAAGTTGTGGAAGTTCTGTTGCTCCACGTCCTTTCCTTTCATAAACTGGTGGACTGGGGAGTGGCCTGGATGGGGATGGAAGGCGACTCTTGAGAAGAGGCTTGTGGTGAGGAAGGAGCATTTGTGGTTGAAACGCATTGTAGCACCATGCGCGTCGGCAGCACGGCTTGAAGCGGCCTGAGGAGGATATCCATGTGCGCTGTGGTCGATGCTGTTCCTTGTGTCGTGGCGCCTTGCGCCACTCATTGCTTTACCTTGCAACCTTCCTCCTGCGCACATGCCGCCACCGCAGCCAGCAATCCGTCCCCACTGTGACATGGCCAAACGTCATCTTCTTCGTGTCCAACCTGTGGACTACGCACCGACAGATGACGATCTGAGAAATCAGGAATCATAATCAGCAGTGCTAGGCGAAGATATCCACCCCGCGGCGGGTAAGAAGAATCAAGATGGCCATGGCAATGGCTGTGGCTGTGGTTCGCAGGGTGCTGCTGTCCTGCAGCGCGGAGCAGATGTGCTGCGGCTTACCCTTGCCTCGCTCCCAATCAGCAGACCCACACGGCCAGAGCGTCAGACGAAGCAGCAGCGTCCGCAGTCGTGGATCGCAGAGCACGTGCACCAATCGCCATCTAAAGGAGCCGAAATCATCCTATCCGTCGGAACTAGTAGTGGTACCTCCGTATTCGTCGCACGATCGACTATTCCACAGCCTCTCCCACAGCCTCTCCCACGCCCTTCCTGTTTCTCCAGCCGCAGTTCGAGAGTGTGTAGCGAATTCTGGACGGCTAGTAGTGTCGCACGCTGTAGCAACCGCGCCGCGCTTTTATCCAGCGGTGGGTACAACCAGCACGTCGGGACTGACGCGCGGCGTCGGGAAAACCCGATACTGTCGCAAGCGGAAAGCGCAGATTCAAGATATCGCAGCGCCATCCGCGCTTTTGCGAAACCCTAACTTACATAGCAGCCTAAGGTCAGCCTTAGGAGACTGTACTATATGCGAATTCCAGTCATCAGATGTGCCGTTGCATAAAATACTAAGCGGCAGACTCGTCGCGACGGCAATACCACTCAGTGGTTCTCTCAATATACAATAGTCAATCCGTCGCCTCAGTGACAAGCGAGCAAGGTAACAGGCAGCATGGCGGAAGCGGTGGTGATACTGCGCAACCGGAAGAAGGAGGAGGAGGAGCAGGGGGGCGCGCTGACCCGCTCCGCCAGTCTGCTGGAGGACAAGTTCTCCGCGTACGAGCGCGCCAACCACCAGATGTGGGCGCGCTCCGCCTCCAATGTCGGCACAAGGTCAGTTGCAGATGCCGCGCCATAAGATGCGCGTTCAGATGCGCTCATTCGCTCCCACACGCGTATTCCAGCTCGTGTTCTGTCTTGATTTGGACGGCAGACTCCGGCTGTTGGCCGTTGATATGATTTCATTATATTGGAGGAGTTTTCTTTCTGCATTTTTTAGATTCCGTCGCTTCGACCGCACAGTCCCCCACCCCCGCTTCCCCGGCTTACGCTCCCCCAGTCACGACCAACCGCGCGCACATCACGTCCTTCCGCTAGTGCGGCCGTGGCGGGAGAAGCAGGCGGGCGGAAAGAAGCGCTGCCAGCGGGAGCGGAACGACGAGGCATCCGGTGGAAGCTGCGGAAAATTCTGGTGGAGCGGCGGAAGCAAAAGACCTGGGGGTGTTACAGAGGGTGCGGGGACGGTGCGTGAGAGCGACGTAGAAGCGGACGAGAGGGGGCGAGAGCGGCGCGTCCTTGATGCTGGGAATGGCTGTAGTAACAGCACGGTGCAGAACGGTGACGAGGCGGGTTGCGGGGAAAGGAAGGGGCAAGCGGCGGCAGTCAGGAAGCTACAGGGAAGGAGCTTGCACGACGACGACGATAACTGCGACGGGGAGAGTAACGAGGAGCTCTATACCGCGGATTACGACGCGAGCCGCGGGGGAGGAGACGAGGCGCACGAGTTGGCGGGACTGAAGGGGCTGGCGGCGGGGGAGGCGAAGGGCGAGGAGGGGTGGGAGGGCGAGAAGCGGTGGGGGGGGGAGGAGGGCGAGGAGGGGTGGGAGGAGGAGGAGGCGATAGTGGACGAGGAGCTGGAGGAGATCGACAAGGAGGTCGTGCAAGGTGCGTGCCGCTCCTATCCCTCTGCGCCGCCTAGCCACCTCGCTCACGTTCCGCACACCCTTGCCGTGTCTGCTGCCTGTTGCCCTGTTCCCTGCCGCCTGTTGCCCTGTTCCCTGCCGCCTGTTGCCCTGTTCCCTGCCGCCTGTTGCCCTGTTCCCTGCCGCCTGTTGCCCTGTTCCCTGCCGCCTGTTGCCCTGTTCCCTGCCGCCTGTTGCCCTGTTCCCTGCCGCCTGTTGCCCTGTTCCCTGCCGCCTGTTGCCCTGTTCCCTGCCGCCTGTTGCCCTGTTCCCTGCCGCCTGTTGCCCTGTTCCCTGCCGCCTGTTGCCCTGTTCCCTGCCGCCTGCTGCCTGCCGCTTGCCGCTCGCCTGCCTCATATGCAGCGCGTACCCATGTGGCAGGCGTGCAGCGGTCTCGACTGATGCTCATATATGCTCAACTGATGCAGCGGTCTCAACTGATGCAGCGGTGCAACTGATGCAGCGGTCTCAACTGATGCAGCGGTCTCAACTGATGCAGCGGTCTCAACTGATGCAGCGGTCTCAACTGATGCAGCGGTCTCAACTGATGCAGCGGTCTCAACTGATGCTGCGGTCTCAACTGATGCAGCGGTCTCAACTGATGCAGCGGTCTCAGCGGTGCACTGCCCGCTGGAGATTCCTCCGCGTGCTGGCGCGTTCTCACCTTCCCATCACCCCGCACAACCCTCGCACCCCCTTGCACCCCCTTGCACCCCCTTGCATCCCTGTGCACTGCATTAATCCCCTGTTCTTCATGGGCGCGCAGACGTATTCGACCGCGTGAGCTTCCTGCGGGACCAGGTGCAGCACTACCGCGCGCTGGGGGGCTTCGTGCTGCTGATGGCGCTGTTCGTGGCAATGGTGTATCTGCAGGCCGACTCCTCCCGCACCTTCCAAGTCACCTCCGCCCACTCCGTCCTCATCCCCACCGTGAGCCCCCACGCTCTCACCACCACACCCTCTAGCGATCCATCTGGTTCCGCCTGTGCAAGTTGGCGTGACTGTAACAGATGTGCACCATATTCGATTAGTTCCAACTTCCACGCCTCTACCTCTCTCATTGTTGCCCCTGCTTGCTTGTTCTCCTGCGTTCCATCCCGCGCAGAACTTCGCCCCAGATTCGTCCAACCGCTTTGCAGGAGCGGGCGAGTTCTACTCGTGGCTCAACAACAGCATCATTCAGGTGTGCCCCGCGTGCCCCTTAACCTCTGCTCTGCTCCACTCTCGTCTGCTCTGCACGGCTGTTTCACATGCCATATTGCAATATGTGTCGTATGTGTCACACATGTTCACATGTTTGGTTTGTTTTGTGTGTGTGCCATGCCTGTGCTCATTCCCCGTCGCCTCCCCCCTTTCTTTTCCCAGAAATTCTGGCAAGACCCCCCATGCGGAGACGGCACGTGCGATCAACCTTTCGAGTTCCCCGCATTCGGCCGCTTCGGCTGTGAGGCGGACTGCGGCACGTTCCCCAACCTCACCTCCGTCTCAATCCATTTCACGACGTCATTTTCATCAAATGAGGCCCTGGCGTTGTCCGCATGGAACCTGTGCATGCAGAGCCCCATCTCGCTCTGCTGGCACGCCCTCCCCCAGCCCTTCCCCGCGCTGCACGCCCAGTTCTCCCTCGCCCTCGACATCCCCGACGGCCAATGGGCGCTCCTCATCACCGCGCCCATGGGGGGCGTGCAGGGCGTGCTGCAGGCGCAGAAGCCGGGGTTGGCCCGGCTTGGATCGGACAGAAGCGGTGTGGCGATGACGAACATGGGGTCGTCTAACAGTGTCACCATTGCCGCGTTTGGCGGGTGCGCGGATGGCGAGGGGTTTGGGTGGGGGAATGCGTTGGCGGCAGCAGAGGCAGAGGCGCTGGACACGTGCAGAGAGGTGAGGCGCTGGACACGTGCAGGGAGGTGAGGGGAGAGAGATGGTTTCCGTGGATATTTGAGTGGCCTGGTGCGAGTTTGCGGAGAGGCTAGGTGCTGGTAGATGGCACCAGCGTGTGGGTCGGAGATGTGTTTCATTGTGCTTTTGCTTGCTGCAGCATCCTCACAGTCTCGTTCGTTCCACCCTGTTTCCTCCGCGCCGCGTTCGCCTGTTCTCTCGCAGGTGTGTGAGTCCGTGGCAGTGTGCCTGCAGTCCGCTTGTGGGCGGGAGGTGGCAACGAGGGAGGTGGCGGGCGCGTTTGTGGACTGCGTAAAGATATGCCGCGCAGCACCAGCCACCATCCTCCCATATGACACCATGTCATGCCCCCAGGTGAGCACGACACCATGTCATGCCACCAGGTCAGCACGCCGCCATGTTTTTTGACTTGCAGTTCACTCCTCAGTTTCTCTGATATTTTCAGCGGGTACTATTCGAGATTACCCAAACCGTCGAGGATTAGTCAGGCTGTCTGCACATGCCAATGTGTTGTTACCTAAGTCCAATCCATCCATGCGCGTGCATCCATGGTCCATGCCCATCCATGCAGATAGCAGCAGAGGCCACCACCGTCTTTCCCAACTCCATGTGCACAGGTGCGCATCCCACTGCCTCTCCGTTTCCTTCCCTTGCCATATGCCTCTCCTGCTGAATGGCATATGCTCAGGGATAGACTGCTGCCACGCCGTTTGCTCTTCCTTGCAAGCCACCATAGTGTGCTTTGTTTGGACGGCAGTGCCCTCCCACACAGCTTTCACCCACCCACCCACTGCCGCCCGTCATTCCTGAAGCCCCCTTTGCATGCTCATCTCATCCCCCGCTTCTCTACCGCCCCCTCCTGCAGACAAGGCTTCATCTGCCCGCCGAAAAACAAGCGATGACACGTATAGGCATGGCGGCGAGCATGGCTACGAGCATGGGCATGGGCATGGGCATGGATACGAGCACGGGCATGCATATACTTCTTCGCATGCTCGAGGGCTCGTGGAGGAGGTGCATGGGACGAGGTACCGCTTCCACCAGAGCCGGCACCGTGCAGCGGACACACATGCAGCGGCGGCAGAGGCAGCAGCAGCAGCTGCCGCACATGGGGATGGCAGTGCGCATGACAGGCCTGTGCCATCATACCATGCGACATCGTACCATTCGTCACAGCATGGGCCATCATATCATGATAGCTACCATGGTTCAGCAGCCTACCATGGGTCAGCAGCCTACCATGGGTCAGCAGCCTACCATGGTTCAGCGTTCCATGCATCATCACTCCAAGGCCCGGAGCAGTACCATGAGCATGCGGCGCGTAGCCCCCATGCCTCTTCTGCCTACCACAGCCAGGCCGCCATGCATGGGCTCTCCTCCTCTGCTGCCGCTGCCACCGACCTGGCAGCAGCAGGGGGAGCGGTGGGAGCGGTGGGGGTGGGAGGGGAGCGCATGGTGCAGGCAGCTGATCTATCGGAAGAAACCCTTGGTGAGTGCTGTGCTTGCACGTGCAGCATGCCATCTCACGGCACCATGCAACAACTCGCTCTGCACCAGCGTCCCGCACCTGCCACTTCCTTTTCCTGATCCTTTCATGGTTACCCAATCTCCCCCCTCCCACTGCTCCTCCAACCCCTCTCTCCCTCCCCTGCCACCACTCACGTGTCCCTCTCTCTCCCCCCCCCCACGCCTTCCGTCAGACCTCCCGCATCTCTCCACCGCGGCCAACGTGTGGACGCTCCTCGGCTCCACGGACGCGCAGCGAATCAGGAACCTCCAGGTGGCGGTCTCACGGACGCTGTACACGATGATAAAGGACTCGTGCCTCGCGGGGCCGTACGCCATGACGCTCACAGAGAGCTACCGCCGCAAGTTCACAGCCTTCCTCTGCACCATCTTTGGCGGGCCCGCGGAGCAGCTGGAGCTGTGCCGCTTTAGAAACTCGACGGGGCAGCAGCTGGTGCAGGCAGAGGAGCTTTTCAGGCACCTCAAGAAGGTGCACCTGGGGTGAGTCTGTCTCTTCCTTCTTCTCTGGTGCATGTGTGCCGCTTCCGCAACGCCACGGGAAATCAGCTGCTGCAGGCGGACGAGCTCTACAGGCACCTCAAGAAGGTGCACCTGGGGTGAGTCAGGCTGTTTTTGCCGTCTCTTACTTTTTTTTTTTCCGACACATGTGTGCTGCTTCCGATGCCGCTCTCGCGCCGCGTTCACCCTCACTGCTCGCAAAGCAACCGCTCAACCCCGCACCTTGTCCATGTACACCCCTCCTCGCCCCTGCTTCCCTCCTCCTTTCCACCTGCCCCCTTCCCCCCACCCCCAGGGGCCGCCTGGTGATCACATCACAGCAGCTGCGGCGATTCATCGACATCCTTATTGCCGCCATGCAGTCCGTCACCGCGCTCTCCCCCGACGCCCTGGCGGACCTCTCCTCCTTCTTCCACCGCCTGGACCCCACCATCGTGAGCACCAGCACGGAGGGGTGCTCGCAGGGCGGCACGTGGCTGCAGTGGCGCGCGGGTGTGAAGCACAACACGACCATCCATGTGGGCGACAAGGTCACCTGGGTGTGGGATGACGACCTCCCGCACTCCCTCAGAAGTGAGCCCATTCTTACTGCTTCACGGAATTCTGGTTATTGCTCTACTGGTTCGTCCCTGGTGGTTCTCAATCAACAGCCAGTCAACAGAGTGTTTCGATTGCTCGTGCCGTACATGAGTGTTCTACGTCTCGCTTGTTGCCCCCAACACTCTTTCTTTCCCACCCTGCACCCCCGCCTTGCACGTGGCAGTATCGGGCATGGGCGACGGGCCGAAGCCCTTCTTTGAGGGCTTTGGGGGCCACCGCCTGGCGCTGTCGCGGCGCTTCTTCTGCTCGCCCATGAACGTGGGCGCCAAGGACGACTACGATGACCCCGTGCCCTGCGTTGTTAGTGAGTGCCTCGCACTGTGCCCTGTCTCGTCAGTGAGTGCCCTGTGTCGTCAGTGAGTAACCCACTGTCCTGTATCCTCACCACCTCTTGCGCTTACGCTTACTCACTTACCGCCCCTCACCACTTGCCACCCAATCCCAATTTTTTCTTGTCCTCCTCTCCGCACCCACCGCTCCCCCTCGCCTCCGTCCCTGTGGCCCTCTCTCGAGAGCTCGCATCAGTTGGAAACGCCACGTTCACATACACCACGGTCTTCTCCCGCCCGGGCGTGTACCTCTATGAAAGCACCTGACCTTGAATCCAATCTCCCCTCCCCCATTTCCTCTCCAGAGCTCGCATCGGACGTGAACACCACGTTCACATACACCAAGGTGTTCTCCCGCCCGGGCGTGTACCTCTATGAGAGTGGCAACGACGTCGGTGAGATTGGCGACATTGGGGGTGCGGGGCCCTCCTCCTCCACCTCCTCCTCCTCTTCCTCCTCCTCTGCATCGTCCACAGCCTCCTCCTCCTCCTCCTCCTCCTCCTCCTCCTCCTCCTCCTCCTCCTCCTCCTCCTCCTCCTCCTCCTCCTCCTCCTCCTCCTCCTCCTCCTCCTCCATGTCTGGGATGATCACCGTGCTCGATCAACCTCCGGAGCCCAAAGGTCAGTGCCCAATGCCTTTCGCCCGCTCAGCTCATTGCCTTGTGATGTCAGCATGTGCCCGCAACGCTGAACCTGGGCCGGTCGCTGGTGACAAATGTGCTCCTCGCTCCCCCCTCACCCCCCAACCACATCCACCTGCATCTCTCCCCTCCTACTCTCTCACCTTCGTTCTTCCCCTTCCTGCTGTGCATCCCACCTCCGCCCTCCCTCCACTCGTCCCATCCCTCCCCGCCACCAGACATGGCGTTCCGCTGTGCGCCGGCATGCTCGCTGCAGCTGATAGCCAATGGGGTGTGCAACCCCGAGTGCAACACGCCCACCTGCGCCTTTGACGGCGGTGACTGCGGGTGCATCGACCCCGTCTTTGGCGTCGGCTTCTGCACCTGCCCTGCCGGCCAGGCCAGGCGCCACGATGGATGTGCGTTGCTCCCCCCGCCCTCCTCTTCCATGCCCCACTTTCTTCCTCCCGCGTAACGTCTCCTTCTCTCCATCGTTCCCCGACCTGCTGTTTCTTTCCCAAAATTTTACTCCACTCAAGCCCGTTGCCCCTGCCGCACGCCTTCCTCCCTGCACGCACACCACTAAGTCTCTTCCCCCTTCCCCCCTCATCCCGTGCCTGTGTGCATGTGAGCAGCGTGCTGTGTGTCGGATGCGGTGGGGGACAATCTGAGCTACCCCTTCACACTGCAGCGCTACGGCCCCAACCTCTGGGAGAGCAACCGCGCCTTCGCTGCTGAGAGGAACGCGCCGCTCACCCGCTTTGTGGCGTCGCACAACAGGTAACCGTCTTTTACGGAGACGGACTGACTGGGGGAGCTGAATCCTTTCTGACTCCCGATGAATGCAGGCCGCTCATCTCATAGGCATGTTCCGCCGCCGCTGGTCGTTCTGAGGCGTCTCAAAGGCCTCTTTCCTCGCTCGTCCGCCCACGTGCCTCCATGCAGGTTGCTCATCGGCATGTTCCTTCGCCAGCAGCGTTGGAGTGTCAAGACGTGCCAAAGCTCCGGGTAAGGCCACTCAGTCCGCACCCACCCACCTCTGCTGCCGCCCTTCCACTTTCCTCTCCATCTCGTTTGAAATATCCCGCACGCGTTGCAGGCGCTCCTGTCGGTTTCCCTTTCTTCTGTCACTCCGCAACCACAACCACCGCCTCGCACCTCCCAACTTCGTCTCACTCAACTTTTAACTTTCCTCCTCTTCCACCCCCCTCTCTCTGCCTCCCTGCAGGCTGCATCACCTGGCGGGGTGGTGCAGCAACGGCACGTCACGGGAGCCCTTTGGGGTGAACGCGCACTACCTGCCCTCCTCCTCGCTCTTCAACCCCGTCGCTGCAGCCGCCACCACTGCCCCCCAGGCGCTGAACGCGTCTTCTCAGGAGCAGCTGGTGCTGAACCCGCAGGGACTGCCGTACGGCTTCGTGTACCCCGTGGTAGGCTCTCCTCGCTTCGCCCTTTCCCATGCTGCAACGCAACACCTTTCCTAGGGAACCACTGCTGCTACCATCTCTTCTTCTTGCGCAGTGAGCCCATTCCACCGCCATTGCTGGTATCAGTGAGGACTCGTATGGCCTGGCTTTTCAAATGGCAGCTGTTGCAATCACTGCCTTTCTTCACCTCCCTCCCTTCTGCAATCCACTGCTTCCCGCTCCCTCCCTTTTCCATGTGCCATGTACCGTGGCGGCGAGCAGGAGGAGGAGGAGGGGTATCCGTTGGTGTTTGACGTGAACCTGGCGTTCGAGGACGCCATGAGCCGCCTGCAGTACCTGGCTGATGGCTTCTATATCGACAACGCCACGCGCTCCATCGAGGTCTCCTTCATCACCCACAACGGTGAGCCTATTCTCAAGCGCGCCTCAGAAATGAGCCGCCTGCAGTGCAGTGCCTGGTGGATGGGCTGTCTATTGACAATGCCACGCGCTCCATCGAGGTCTCCTTCATCACGCACAATGGTATGACTCTCACTCACCCAACCAGCGCTGGGCCCGGCCCAGAGGATGTGCGCTCTCCCGTCTTGATGTTTTATCGTCTTGTTATCATCCTCCTCATTCCGCGCCCACCCGTCCACCCCGCACCCACCAGGCGAGAGCAGCACGTTTGTCCTCACGAGCGTCACAGCCGAGGTGGACACGGGCGGGGGGCTCGTCACGTCCTTCTCCTCGCTGCCCGTCTCCACCACCCTCTACCCGCCCACCCTCACCTCCGTGTTCCTGCTGCTGCTGCAAGCGGTGTACGTGTTGGCGCTGCTGTGGAACGGGGTGGAGGAGGCGGTGGAGCTGCGGGGGCGCATGAAGAGAGAGGGGTCTGTTCTCAGCTACTTGCGCTCCGGATGGAACTGGATCGACATGGCCTCTCTCCTCCTGCAGTGGCTCGCGCTCATCACGTGGCTCGTGCTGTGGCGGGCCACAGAGGCCTTTGACGTGCAGCCGCGGTACGACATCTACCACACGCTGCTGGAGAGGCCGCAGTACTGGGCCGTGCCGGACCCGCCGATGGGGTTCATGGCGGCCATGGATAGGTACTCATCGCTGCAGGCGCTCATCAACTGGCGCTCCTTCTACTTCGTGCTGCAGGGCGTCAAGTGAGTTTTGTTGCTCTTACCGAGCTGCCGGGTCAAGCTGTTCTGGGTTCTGTAGTGACCCTCCCGCTCCTTCCAGGCGCTTACAACTGGCGCTCCTTTTACTTCGCCCTGCAGGGCGTCAAGTATGTGCTTGGCTTGCTTCCTCTTCCCTGCTTGATCTCGTTGGCTTCTCTGTTCCATGCTTCTTTTGATAATGTAGCTCAGATTGCTCAGCTCGCATGCCTGTCTGTGGCCCATCCTTGCCAACCCCGGTTGTGGAACCCATGTTGTCCCTCCAGTCTCTTCTTCCTCATGGTGCGCCTGCTCAAGCTCATGGACTTCCAGCCCTATCTGGGCGTCATCACGCGCTCCCTCGCCCTCGCCATGCCGTCGCTGCTGCACTTCTTCCTGCTCACATTCATCGTCTTCTTCTGCTTCGCTCTCTACGGCTACCTCGTCTTCGGTGGCAAAATGGAGCAGGTGCGTGTGGGTGGCAAGATGAACCATGGGCAGCCACAGGCACTCTACTCTCACTCGCTCTCACTCGCTCGCCCCATGTGCATGTGCACCACTTTCGTTGCTCACTTGCGCCTGCATGCACCTCATGTTGCAAAACCTTTTCTCATGCCAAGATTCACTCCCATGCATCCTCCCTCTGTGTCCTCCCAAACCCTGTGTCCTCCCATCCAACCTGTGCAGTTTGCGACGCTGCCGGAAGCGCTGTTCACATGTTTCCTGATCATCCTGAACGAGAACGCAACGGCCTATTTCTTTGTGCACATGCACGGGTGGGACCTGGTGGCGGGCATGCTCTTCTTCATCGCCTTCATCCTCCTCCTCGTCTTCATCCTCTTCAACTTCCTCATCGCCATCATCGTCGACGCCTTCATGACCATCAAGGTGACTCGGCTTCAGAATTTCGTTTTGGTTTAGTTGTTTTTCTTTTCCTTTCTTTTTTTGGTCAGGTTTTGCCACCGCCTCTATTGTCCTCCTCCAGCAGTTTCTGGTTACGATGAGAAGTAAGCCCCCCTCTCACACTTGCCACCCACCTCCCGTGCCAGGACTCGCATGTGGTGGCGACATCCATAACGCACGACATCGGCACCATCCTGCGCTACCTCATCAACCGCTGCCTCGGGCGCTTCTCCCCGTACAGTGACATCATGGGGCGGCTGGAGCAGCTGGGCGCGCGCAACAAGCAGCAGGATGAGGCGCACAAGCGCATGCAGCGCTACCAGTCCTTTAAACGCCGCGCCAAGTCATGTCTTGGTGGGAAGGTCTGTGGGGGGGGTGCTGCGGAGGTTGAAAGAGCCAAGACGATGGCGGCGAGTGGGGGGGGAGTGGTGGCGCCGCAGAGGGTGCTGCAGGTGAAGGGGCAGAGCATTGATGACATCTCCCTTGCCATGATCCTGCAGCGCCGCCATGCCCGGGAGGTGAGCTGGGTGTGTGTGCGTGCGTTCCATCCAGCAGGCCTTGATTCCGTTTTACCTGCTCCACTGTTCTCTCTAAGTCGACTCAAACGAGAACACAGAAACTCACTCACGCCCTCCCACGGCCCCTTTCCCCCTTTCATCGCACCCACTCACAGGATCCGTCAGCTTCCCTGCCCTCCCCATCATCCGCATCCGTGCTGCAAATCTCACCCGAGTCAGAGCAGCTGTCGCACGTGCTGCTGAGGCAGTTTGGTGACCACGTGGTGCGCGACTACAGCCGCCCGCAGCACAAGCCCAAGCATGGGCTGCCACAGGTGCAGGAGGAGCTGGGGAAGGTGCGGGAAGCCATGGACGAGCTTAAAGCCATGGTGCTCGCGCTGCACTCCGCTGTCGCTGCAGGGGCGGGCGGAGCGGGGGTAGGGTTTGGAGGGGAGGGTATGCTGCCTGCTGCTGCCGCTGGTGCGGCGGGTGTAGGTGGAAGTGCAGCTGGGGGAGCAGGGGGGCACTGCCCGCTGTTTTCTGCGTCGTCGTCGGCAGCAGCAGCGCTGGCGCGCTCTTCTTTCAGCACCACCTCCTCCTTTTCCACCGCCCAAGGCTGCTTCCTCTCCCCCAACTCCCTTGGCACACCCCTCGGCACCTCCCCTGCTAGGGACCCCTTCTCTTCCCCTGCTGCCTCCTCCCTCGCTGCCTCCAGCCCCTTCATCCGTAACCCATTCGCTGCTGGTAACCCACTCGTCGCCGGCCACCCGTTCGCGACTAATAACCCGTTTGCTGGGGGTAACCCGTTTGGCACAGGCAGTCCGCAGCACCGCTCGCTGGTGCTGCAGCGGGGGGCAGCGAGGAGGGCAGGGAGTGCGGGGCGGGCGGGGCTGAGGGGGAGCATGGGTCCTAGTAACTTGGGGCGGGGGATCCAGGCGAGCAGGCAGGGGAATGGGCTGATGCTCTCGCGTGTGGAAACTACCCCGCTGCCCCACCGGCATAGTCTTGACGGCGCTGCTTCGGGTCGTCATGGCGGTTCTGGCGCCGATTCCCATGCTGAGAGCTCACAGCAGCCGACTGATGAGAGTGCCGCTTTCGTTCATGCCGATACCATGCCCATGCCCCGAACCCGCACCTCTTCGTTCCCGTATCCTGAACCCGAGCCTCGTGACGCACAGGCAGGTTCGGCGCAGGCTCCTGGGAGCAGTGATGGAGAGAGTGCGGATGGGGATGGCAAGGGGAGTGCAAGTGGTGAGGAGCAGAGTGATGAGCTGTCGCCGCTGACGAAAGCCGCCCGGCGCGTATCATTGTCAGAGATGGAGGAGGAGGATGGGGGGAGGATGCGGAAGAGAGGGGGGGATGGTGGCCGTGGGATGGGTGCCAGTGGAGACGGTGCAAGTGGGTCGGTTCGGAAGAGTGTGGGGTTCCATGAGGTGTGAGGGAGGAGGGTACTGCGGCTGCTCTGAGAAGGTTCAGTGGCAGACTGTGGCATAAAGGAGATGGACTGCAATGACGTTGGGACTATGCGGTGGTGGTGATGCAATCATCAGCAGCCCAGTCACCTAGTGCTGATGTTGGCTTCAGTTTACCAGGTGAGTGGCAAGTGACGCCTGTAGAGAATTGGGTGGTGGTGTAGGAAGAAGAGGTTTGGCACGGTAGAAAAGAAGCGAGATGCACTCTTCATAATCGTATATTAAGCTCCCCTCGTCCACCTTTCCCCTTCCTCCATGCAGCTGCTGGTTTTTGGATATGGGTGCTCGGAATGGAGCAAGGCGACCCGCTCCTTACATTCGTGCTCCAGGCGTTGGGGAGTCGCTCGCCATTGTTGTTAAAATAACACATTAGTAGTAATCACACATCTATAGAATCGGAACTTGCGCTACCAATGAGAGGAGGGGAAGAAGGAAAGGTGGGTAACTCCACAAATATAACAGACCAAAAGAGATTGATGCCACTGAGCACCACGTGGTGGATTGTGAATGCGAAAGCATATGTGCGAAATTTACGATAGAATACCGACACCGTGAGGAGGAGAGGGCTCGAAGTGATGCACGCGAAATAATTGAGGGCACCAGATAAGACTGCCTCTACCTCGGAAACTACCTCGCAATCTCATTCAAGGCAGGGAGATTGTCCCTGTCCCTAACTCCAGCCGACGTGACAAAACTTGCCAAATCTCCAGCAGATCCGCACACCTGTGGGAGTCGGTGTCAGGGTTCCTTTGGTTTACTGTACGGTAGCTTGTCGAAACACCACCGAATGATGCCTCGCATCGCATCCCTTCCATCCAACTGCTTGAAGTTTACGCCGGATTGAACCGAAGAAAGGCATAGAAGCATCTCTTTCAACCACGTTTCTTTAATATTATTTTCGGTGACCTACTTTCTTCCTGCCCTTCCACGCTTGTCTCTCAATGCTATAAGAAAAGCAGCAGGGCACGGGATGAGCAGCTACACTATAACACACGTGAATGCAGCAAGGAATGCGTGCAGCAGAAGCTCTTTCACATTCTCCAAGCCATTTTCTTTCCCCGACCAGATACACCACCGCTAGACAGGGACACCATTAGCAAGAAAGTACGTCACGCATTAGAACTTCACGCCGCATCAACCGAAGTGCATCACAGCTAAATCTCACCAAATCACCCCGCTTAAAAATCCTTTCTTGTGGAGTTGACTGATCTTATCGCTTAGCTTGCACGCTCACCTAACACAGCAATGGAGAATGGGGAGGAGATAAGCTGGTAAAACGCCCTTGGTTGAACCTACTCCTCGTAGGCAGCACGGAAACAAGTCCAGCAGTTCCTGTTTCTTACACCACCCGCGCGAGAGGGAAACATTATCATCGAAGGAAGTACGGCAAGCAACTCTTGTTGCCCTAATGTATCCTCAAGAGTAGGAACGATTCCCAGCAGGCCCCGTTTTTCGTCTCTCATTAGTAGCGGGGATGGCGGAGGCGGTCGCGGTGCTGCGCGCGAAGAAGCAGGCGGAGAAGGAGGGGGATGCCGGCGAGGCGTCGTTCCCGCGGTCGAAGAGTTTGCTGGACGATAACTTCGACGCGTACCAGGCGGCCAACTACCGCATGTGGGTTCGATCCAAGTCCGACGATACATCCAGGTGAGACGACCATCATGCTCCGTTCTTGCTTGCACGTTAACGTCAATGCTTGCTCCCGAAACGGTTTTCTGAATGCTGCTTGTTTATTTGCTGCCTATTCCCGACTTGCAACTAATCCAGACTCCCTTTTGCTCCGCGCATTCCCCCCCCCCCCCCTTTCGTCCTCGCTTCGAAGTCGCAAGAAAACGGGGTCTAGCACCCTCAAGACGCACAACCTAGATTTCCTCGATAGCCGCGGCATATTCACGCCGCATAATCCGGAGCTCTTGTCACGCCTCGCGTCAAGCTCGTCGGTCAATCCGTCCATCCCCGTCGACGAAGGCGGAGGGGGGGAAGGATACGGCGGTGACGAGGATTACGCGGGGATCTGCGCGGAGAGCGGAGCGGAGGGGTTGGCGGAGGAAGGGAGGGCTGGCGGAGAGGGTTCGGGGGCTGAGGGAGCGCGGGACAGCAGCGGCAATAGCAGCAACGGCAACAGCAGCAGCGGCAGCAGTCACGAGAGCGCGGCGGATGACGATCGGGGGCTGCGCGCCTTCCTGCGCCATTGTGGCCCGCGGGTCAGGCGCGCACGCAACACGAGCGCCGACTGCACGAGTGGAACGGATGGCGCAGAGGGCGGGGAGGGCGGAGAGGGAAAGGCGACCGCGGCGGGGGGTCCGCTGAAGCGCAGCATGACGGAGGATACGACGGGGGAGACCATGGCGCGGAGTTCAGGGTCGCTGAAGGGCCTAGGAGCGGGTGACAGCCTGGCGCGGTCGTCGAGCGACGTGCTGCGCGACGCGGAGATGGACGAGATGGACCGCGAGGTGCTGCAAGGTGCGCCTCTTCCCCGCGTTGCTTTCTGTCGTTCCGCCTCTGGCGTTCCGCGCCGTTCTCGGAGTTTTTGAGAATTCTCAAAAACTCCCTGCAACGTTCTCGCTGCTGCACTGAGCCACCTCAATACCTTAACGCCCCCTTTTCCATTCCAATCCCCCACCACCGTCCCCCCCACACACAACCTCCCCCGGCGCGTGGCAGAGGCGTTTGTGCGCGTGGTGGGGCTGCAGCAGCGCGTGCAGCACTACCGCGACCTGGGCGGGTTCGTGGTGCTCATGGCGCTCTTCATCACCATCCTCTACCTCCAGGCCGACTCCTCAAGAAGCTACGAAATCACCTCCGCGCATGCAGTGCTCTTCCCCCCCGTATGCGCCTCCCCCCGCCATCTTCCGCCGTGCTCTTCCCCCCGTATGCCCCCCCCGCACCCCCCGCCGAGCTCTTCTCGCCTGTATCCCACTTCTGCTGACCCCACATCCCTTGCGCGCATGGATTCTTCTGCGCTTCAAACGTTTTTGAGTTTTGAGGAGCCTCAGAAGTATTTTACTTTTTAGGCGCCTCAAAAGATGCCCTTGCCTAGCGCCCTCTTCTCTCGGTCGTCTCCCCTCACCCTCCGCCCTGCGTGTGTGTCTCCCTGCCCACCACGAGAGCAGGGCATGCGTCAGGATGCGTCCAACACTTTCAACAGCCCGGATGACTTCTACAATTGGCTCAACACCAGCATCATTCAGGTGCGTTCCCCGCCCTCTCCCATTCGCCTCTGCCTTATAGCTCCTCGTGCAATTGGTGCGTGTTTCGTCCCGGATAACCACGCCTACCTTCCGCCCAGCCCACCCACGCGGCATCCCAGCTCTCCCTTCCCTTGTCTGCAGCTCGCACGCTCCTCACTCCCTCCTCCCCTCTCCCCGCCGCCCCTGCAGAGCCTCTGGGCGGACCCCACGTGTGGCACCGGCTTATGCGAGCGCCCCTTCCAGTACCCGGCGTTTGGCCGCTTTGGCTGCGAAGCCGACTGCGGCATCTTCCCCAACCTCACCTCCGTAGTCATCCGCCTCTCCTCTCAGCTTGACACGCAGCAGGCAGCAGACGAATCTTCCTGGAACCTCTGCATGGTCAACCCGGTCTCCCTCTGCTGGTATGCTCGCCCGCCTCCCGCCTCTCCCTGCTCTTCTTTTCGTCCCCGTCCTGTGTACTCATCCCACCCCACCCCACCCCACGCCACCCCCATGCGGCGCCCATGCGGTGCAATCAGGTACGAGGAGTTCCAGCCATTCCCTGTGGGCGACACGGAGGTATCAGTAGCGTTGGACATTCCGGACGGCGACTGGGTGGTGGTGCTCAACGCGCCCGCGGGGGGCATCCGCGGCACCGTGCACGCGCCCCCTCCCGGCACGCGTCGCTTCTCCGTCGTCGGCGCCACCACGACTCTTGAGCTCGCCGCCTGGGGCTACTGCGAGCACGACGATGACGTGGATGCAGCCAATCAGGCGCTGCCAAGTGGCGGCGCTGGTGGTTCTCCGCCTGATGTCTGTCGTGATGTGAGTACGTCGTTGCTCTGCGTGCCGTGCCCCATGCTGTCCGTCACGCTACCGTCGCTAGGAACAGGGTGCTCACTAAGGTTGGGGATGGCACCTGGGTGGCGTGCTGTGGAACCACTCAACTTTCCACCGTGTGTCATTCCTTGCTGAGTGTGTGCATGCTTTCAATCACATGTGCCAATCCACTCGTGTGCATGCGTGTGTTCGTGCGTGCGTGCGTGCGTGCGTGCGTGCGTGTGTGTGTGTGTGTGCGCGCGCGTGCACGCACAAGTGCGTGCGTGCGTACGTGCGTGTGCGTGTGCTTGCGTCGTGTGTCTGTATGTGTGTATGTATGTGCGCATGCGAGTGCGTGTGTGCGTGCATGCATGTGCATGCATTTATGCGTCACTGCATGCAGACATGTGCAAGGCTAGTGCTCTGCCTGCCAGCAACCTGTGGGCGGCCATTCACGGAGAGGGAGGTGGCAGGGGCGTTCGTGGACTGTGCGCGCATGTGCATCGTTGCACCCTCCTCCGTCACCTCCTACGCCGACACTCCCTGCCCCATGGTTTGCTCCCTTGCCCCATGATGCGCCCCTTGCCCCATGGTGCTCCCCTTGCGTGCACCTGTGACTCTGATGCTTGTATAGAGCAAACCTTCTTGCAACGTTTCAGATATCGTCCCTCCCTCCCCCTAGCACCGCCAGCGCCTCCTCTATTCCCACGACACTTCTCTTTCTCACTCGTCCCCGCCCTCCTTTACCCCCCATTGCCTGCAGCCTGAGATTGCATCCCTCTTCTCCAACGTCCCCTGCAACGTTTCAGGTATCGTCCCTCCCCCTCCCTGCAATGTGTCTTAGAGTTGTCTTGAGTAACTTCTCGTGTAGCATGTGTGTGCATTCGACTCACACACACTTAGCGCATGCTGTGATGTTCTTTTTTGACTCACCTCTCTCTGCCATCATCTTCTCTCACGCCACAACCCCCCCTCCTAACCAGCAATCAACTCCACGGGACACCTCTCTCGTTTTGCCCGCCGAAAGGTGCTCCCATCCCCATAGCTTGCTGCTCACCATCGCTTGCTGCTCACCTTTGCTTGCCTCTCACCCTTTGCTTGTTCATCCCTTTCTCTTGACCCTCGCCCTTTGCTTGCGGCTCCTTGTGGCTTTCCTTCTCCGCCTTTTCTCATGTTCCCTTCACGTTTCTGTTCGCCCTTTGTTCGTGTGTGCACTTCTTGCAAATCCCACATTATCATGCTGTCCCCGCTGAACCATAACCCACTATTGATTGCCCATCGTTTCTCAGACTCAGGCACAACGCCGCCTCCTGCACCCGCACCGCCGCCTACACCCGCAAAGCTACAGCGATTGGACGTCCTGGGCCTTGCCCGCTGACGCCCCTCCTGCGTTTGCCTCTTTGGCTTCTTCTGCTGCCTCTGCTGATGCCGCTCCTGCGACACCGCCAGTGCAAGGCGCATCAGGAGCAGCAGTTGCAGCCCTGCCACCACAAACACCAGCATCATCTCTAACAGCAGCAGCAGCAGCAGCAGCCATGGCAGCAGCGGGAACGGCAGCCACACCAGACCCCGCACAGCCCTCTCTGTGGTCGCTCCTGGGCGCCACGGACCGCCAGCGACTGACAGCGCTGCAGGTGGCGGTGTCGCGTGCTCTCTTCACCATGGCCAAGGACCGCTGCCTGGCCGGCCGCGCGCCGGGAGCAGAGGCAAGGCTAGTAGCGGGAGCGAGCAACCACACACAGAGAGGGTTAGGCAGCGTGCGGTGGCGCATGGTGGCGTGCCTGTGCATGATGCTGGGGGGCCCTGTGACGACTTTGGAAGAGTGCCGGTTCACGGATGAAAGAGGGCAGCAGGTGGTGGAGGGTGGTGAGATGCACGCATACCTGCTCCGCACGCATGTGAGCGGTGGGCGCGTGATCTCAGCGCAGCACATGCGGCGCTTCGTGCAGACCATGGTGGCGGCGCTGCGCTCCGTGACGGCTATCCCAGACGAGGCCGCTGCGCGCCTCAACACGGTCTTGCACGCCTTCGACGATGCTGTTGTCACCTCAGACTCTGTCGGCTGCTCACAAGGTGCTCATGCCCGGTGGTCCTGGTGGTTGGTGTGTTTGCATGCGCACTTGTGCATGTATGTGTGCGTGTGCGTGCGTGCGTGCATGCGTTTCTATGTGCATGTCTGAATGTTGCTGTCATTTGTGGCACCATGGATCATGTTTGACTCTAGGCACTTCTTTAATCTTTTCTGTCTCCTTTCAGCAGGCGGGGCGTGGCTGCAGTGGCGGGCAGGCATGTCGCACAACACGACCATCCATGTGGGCGACAAGGTCACGTGGGTGTGGGATGACGACCTCCCTCACTCCATCAGAGGTACATCTTTGCCTCCAAAGCTCTACCACATCCCATTCGCGCCACTACCTCGTGTGTGCATCCGCGCCTATATTGCTTCGTAGAGAAAACGAGTGTTTCTGGTTTGTTCCTGTGACAACTCTTTGTGCCCCGTGGTACCTTCCCAATGGTGTGCACTGGCTCATGCCCCACCACCTCTGTGCCTCCACCATCCCTTTCCCACGACCATCACTGCCACCACACCAGTGTCTGGGATGGGAGAGGCAGGCGACCCGTTGTTCCTGGGCTTCGGAGGGAACCGCCTGGCCGTGTCACGGCAGATGGCGTGCACTCCCATGAACGTGGGCGCTGGGGACATGCGTGACGATCCCGTGCCGTGCGTGCTGAGTGAGTGCAAGTGCAAGTGCCATGGTAAGTGAGCAACGATACCGCCTGGCTGGCCGTGTCACGGCAGATGGCGTGCACTCCCGTGAGCGTGGGCGCTGGCGACATGCGCGATGATCCCGTGCCGTGCATGCTGAGTGAGTGCAAGTGCAAGTGTCATGGTAAGTGAGCAACGATACCGCCTGGCTGGCCGTGTCACGGCAGATGGCGTGCACTCCCGTGAGCGTGGGCGCTGGCGACATGCGCGATGATCCCGTGCCGTGCGTGCTGAGTGAGTGCAAGTGCAAGTGCCATGGTAAGTGAGCAACGATACCGCCTGGCTGGCCGTGTCACGGCAGATGGCGTGCACTCCCGTGAGCGTGGGCGCTGGCGACATGCGCGATGATCCCGTGCCGTGCATGCTGAGTGAGTGCAAGTGCAAGTGCCATGGTAAGTGAGCAACGATACCGCCTGGCTGGCCGTGTCACGGCAGATGGCGTGCACTCCCGTGAGCGTGGGCACTGGCGACATGCGCGATGATCCCGTGCCGTGCGTGCTGAGTGAGTGCAAGTGCAAGTGCCATGGTAAGTGAGCAACGATACCGCCTGGCTGGCCGTGTCACGGCAGATGGCGTGCACTCCCGTGAGCGTGGGCGCTGGCGACATGCGCGATGATCCCGTGCCGTGCGTGCTGAGTGAGTGCAAGTGCAAGTGCCATGGTAAGTGAGCAACGATACCGCCTGGCTGGCCGTGTCACGGCAGATGGCGTGCACTCCCGTGAGCGTGGGCGCTGGCGACATGCGCGATGATCCCGTGCCGTGCTTGCTGAGTGAGTCCCGTGGCCATGGTAAGTGAGAGGTGACCCGGTGCCGTGCTTGTTGCTGCTGATGTATCACCCTTGTACCTTATCACTCCTCCCATTATCCCCTCTCTCCCCCACCTCGCACCCCCTTCCCCCACCAGAAATGGACGACGAGCCTGCGGGCACCTTTGCGTACAGCAAGGTGTTTGCCCAGCCAATCACCATTCACTATGAGGACGGCACTGTGCCAGGCACGGTTGGGGACTCCCAATCCTCCTCCGCCTCTCCTTCCTCCTCCACCACCCTCACCTCCATGGCCAGTAGCATTCTCACAGTGCTGCCTGCAAGGACTGGGGCGGATGCTACTGCTGGTGAGCACAGCACTGCACGTGTGCCTTTCAGCTGTCCCATGCGCGCTCCCTTTCAGTTGCATTCACTCGCCCTCCGTGCGTTCTCTTCCCAACGTTCCCAGTTGGAAGCATCCTAGTACACCTTCCTGCATCCATCCTCCCCATCCTCTCTCCTCCTTCACAGCTCGTCCCCCTCTTTCCGTCATTCTCCAACCCCTCCTCTCCACATCTCCTGTCCCTTCCCCCGGCTTTCGTTTCACGAAAAAATGCAGGTTTTGTGAATACCACCACAATCGTCACCAACGCCACAAACCCCACTGCTTCCAACAGCACGACCGCTCGCCCCACCAACACCAACACCGCGGCAACCTACGAGTGCTCGCCGAGGTGTCGGCTGCGGCGGCTGGCGAACGGGGTGTGCGATGCGGCGTGCAACACGCCCGCGTGCGCCTTTGACGGCGGCGACTGCGCGTGTGTCGACCCGCTCTTTGGCCCCGGCATCTGCCCCTGCCCGCCCGGCCACACCCGCCGCGACGACGGCTGTCAGTCACCCCTCTACCCACTCCTCTCGACCCTTTCGCCTCCTGCCTTGCACCACCATCCTTCTCTTCTCTCCTATTCTCACTTCACGCTTACTTGCTTCCTGGCATGCACTTGCTTTAGATGAACCCATTGCCCTCCCGTCCCTGCTCTCTCTTCCTCATCTCCCTCCCCTTTCTCCTCATCTCCTTCCTCCTCTCTGTTCCTCGCCTTTCTCCTCCCCTCTCCTCCAGCGTGCTGTCTATCCACGGCGGTGGGAGCCAATCTCAACTTCCCCTTCTCACTGCAGCGCTACGGCCCCAACTACACCGAGAGCAACTACGTCTTTGCTGCTGAGAGGGGCTTTGCGGCCACACGCTACGTGTCTGGCCGCAACCGGTACGCCACCCCCTGCCTCCCTGCCTGCCCTGTTGGCCGCCCTGTTGGGCAACACACTTGTTTTGTGCAGCGCCTGCCTCTCCACCACCTCCTGATGCTTCCTTTCATCCCATCCTCGCAGCAGCACAGCATATATCCACCAGAGCCTTGGCTGACCACCACACTCAGCTTCACACTCTCCTCTTCCTTATCCCACTCCTCCCCATCCCCTCTCCCTTCTTCTCCGTGCCAGTGTGCTGATCGGCATGGTGCTGCAGCAGGAGCGGTGGGTCACGCAGCAGTGCAGCGGGCCGGGGTGAGTGGCTCTTGAGAAGGGGCATACAGGCATGAGCAAGGGTGGGAGCCGAGCCAGCTGCCACTCGTTGGACCAGCTCCCACGAGCCAAGGAGCCAAGGAGCCAAGGAGCAAACACGGGGAGCCGCGGCTCGATGGGGCCGGACCAACGAGCCGCGCCATCGTGCTATGACTGCTGCTCATGCCTACTGTGGCGTGCAAGGGTTTCACGATGTTTGCCGGATCCTGTCGCCATGTCAGATCCTGTCGCTGTGACATCGCCACCGATTGCCCTTCTCTCAACACGTGCACTTCACTCCCTCCCTTGCTCACAGCTGCACCCGCCCTTCTCTCCCCCAAAACCCCCTACACGTCCCTGCCCTCTCCCCTCCCTCCTCTCTCCCCCCAGCCTGCTGCACCTGGCGGGGTGGTGCAGCAACGGCACGTCCACGGAGCCGTTTGGAGTGAACCCGCACTTCCTGCCCACGTCGGCCATCTACGACAGCGCTGCCAGCGCCAACATGAGCCAGCTCGACAACAACACCTTCGGCTTCAGATTGCAGTTCAACCCACAGGGCCTCCCCTACGGCTTCATCTACCCCTTGGTCAGTCCCTTTAAAGAGATGTTCTCCTCATTATCTGTTTTTGTCAAGATATGTACTAAGAGTAAGCGCATTACTTATCCATATGGTTGGTGCCAAGAGTAAGCACGTTATTTACCAATATGGATGGTACTAAGAGTAAATGCGTTACATACCAATATGTTTCGTATTGAGAGTAACTGCGTTGATTACCCAGTGATGTCTTGGCGAAAATAGTGTTCACCTGTACCTTTTCCAGCAGGCGTCTCTCACGACATACCCTTTGGTGTTTGGCATTAATCTTGATAACGAGGCGGCCACAAGGCGACTAACCTACTTGGTGGATGGCAGCTACATTGACAATGGCACGCGCAGCGTTGAAGTCAACTTTATAACCTTCAATGGTATCTAATCACCTTGTGGTAACACCGACCCGTAAACACATGCATCTACTCAACACATCCATATGTTTCTTGCAACGTTCAATGTACACCGCACGCCTCTCAATGCGTGCCTCTCAATGCACGCCTCTCACTGCACCACTCTCAATGCACGCCTCTCACTGCACCACTCTCAATGCACGCCTCTCACTGCACCACTCTCAATGCACGCCTCTCACTGCACCACTCTCACTGAACCACTCTCAATGCACGCCTCTCAATGCACGCCTCTCACTCGCCTCATTGACCCCCCCCCCTCCCCCAATGTTGGCAGGCGAGACACTCACATTCGTGCTCACAACTGTGAGGTGCACGGTGAACGGGGGCGGCAGCATGGCAGTGAGCTTCAAGTCGCAGCCGGCAGCCATGGCGATGTACGATGCATCAGCGGACAACATCGCACGGCTGGTGCTGGAGGTGGTGTATCTGGTGGGGCTGCTCTGGAATGTGTGTGGCGAGCTGCAGGAGATGGCCGACCGCGCTGCCACCCATGGCTCTGTGCTCAGCTATTTTGAGCAAGCATGGAACTGGATCGACATGCTCTCTCTCTCGCTGCAAGCTATCGCCGTTGTTCTCTGGTGAGCGAGTTTTTTAGAATTTTAAAAAACCCTTGCCCTCTGGTGAGGCAAGAGCTATTTTCTGTCTCACTTGCTCGTCATCCAGCCTATTTTCTTGTGGCGCCTAAAGAATGACCTCATCTGGCCATGTTCCCCTGCTCCTCCGCCTCGCTCCCCAATCCTCCACTTGTGCGTTTGTGCGTGTGCATTGGTGTGGTCAGGGTGGTGCTGTGGCGGTACGTGAGCACGTTTGACATGCAGCCACGGTACAACATCTACTACTCGCTGTTTGAGATGCCACGCTACTGGGCCGTGCCCAACCCGCCCACGGGCTTCATCAGCGCCATTCAAGCTTTTGCTGATCTGCGCAACATCATCAACCTCCGTGCCGTCTACTTCGCCCTCCAAGGCATCAAGTGAGCTGCCTTGCCCTGCAGGGTTTCAAGTGCGCTACCTTGCTTTTCAAAACAAGAAGTGAGCCATTTTCACTCTCTCTACGGCTTCCCAGATTGAGAAAAAGTCGAACCTGAACTGGTTGGGCCGAAGCCTGAGCACAGGCCAGTCCAAGGTGCGACAATTCGTGTCACACATGTTTCGCTCAGTTTGGTGACAGCCTACATTCAGCATCCTTCCCTTCTCCCTCCTCCCCACCCCCCGATTCCCCCAGTGTTTTCTTCATGATGATTCGCCTACTCAAGGTGATGGATTTCCAGCCTTACCTTGGGGTCATCACTCGCTCCCTCAGCCTCGCCACGCCCTCCCTGCTGCACTTCTTCCTGCTCTCCTTTACGGTCTTCTTCTGCTTCAGCATGTATGGCTACCTCGTCTTCGGAGGCGCAATGGAGCTGGTATGTGTGGGTGTGGGGCTCATTTACTTTTGCTGTCTAAATCAAGATGAAGTGAGCAACAATTATGCACCGTGAGATGAATAAAGCCGTAAGCGGAAACTAGTTTCCATCACCTTTTACTTGATATATATACACACATATATATATACATACATGCATACATACATATATATGTGTATATATACATATACATATGCTTATGCATCTACATGTACATGTACATGTACATTTACATATGCATATGCATATACATATACATATACATATACATATACATATACATATATATACATATACAGATATAATACATGTATATATATAAGAAAACTGAACAAAGCAAAACAAGACAGAATCAAACAAGTATCACATCTTTCATATACTTGTGCAATCTACACTACTATTTTTGTTCCAACCAATTCTGTTTTCCATACTCACCATGCTGCCCCTCCTGTTTCCGAACCTTGTGTGGCTTCTCCATCCATTGCCCCACAAACACCCCTTCTCTCGTCCCGCCTCCCCGCCCCACCCTGTGCAGTTCTCCACAGTACTCAACTCCATGTTCTCCCTCTTCCTACTACTCATCAACGACAACGGGTCGGCCTACTTCCTGCAGCGCCTGGAATCGTGGGACCTGATAGCAGCGATGCTCTTCTTCTTCATGTTCATCGTCTTCATGGTCTTCATCCTCCTCAACTTCCTCATCGCCATCATCGTTGATGCCTTCATGAGCGTCAAGGACAGCGACGTGGTTGCTACCTCCATAGCCGCGGACCTCGCTCACATATTCAAGTACAAATGGAATTGCTGGCGCGGCCGGTACTTGCCGTACCAAGTCATTCTCGACCGCCTTGTGGATCTGGGGGCCAAGGACACCCGCATTAAAGAGGTGAGTGCGTAGTAAGTTGTTTGATGCAGGGTTCTGTGGGTGTCTTATGAGGTCAGTGAGTTGAAGGTGTTTGATTGTTATGGTTGTTTCTCAAGTGGTTGATAAGATGCTTGTTCCAACCATACAATCATGATGCGATTGCTCCCTTCTCACGCAGGTTAAGGTGACGCCTTGGTCATGCTGCAATGGCCACTGTTGCCACCGACCCCTAATTGCCCTCCCACACACACGCCATTCCCCACGCGCCTTTCGCTTCAGGACAACCCTCGGATGCGCCGCTTCAAGTCCATCCAACGGCGGGTAGGCTTAATGCTCTCTGGCGCGCGAGGCAGCGCCCACAAGGCGGCGCACTTTGCCGGGTCAGACAACCAGCCCGCCTTCCCCTCCGCCGTCAGCGAGTCTCGGGTGCGGAAGCAGCACGTGCTGACAGTGAGGGAGAAGCGCATCGACGCCATCTCGCTCGCCATGATCCTGCAGCGCCGCCACGACGAAAGGGTGCGTCCTTGCTATCATGCTTGTTTCCATGCCTGTTTCCATGCCTTTCCATGCGGGTTCATGCCTTTCCATGCGTTTCCATGCCTTTCCATGCGTTTCCATGCGTTTCCATGCCTTTCCATGCGTTTCCATGCGTTTCCATGCCTTTCCATGCATTTCCATGCCTTTTTGCATGCTCGTCCCATCATGCTTGTGGCGACTGATTCAGGTAGTGCCATGACAAGTGGTTACTCTCTCCCTTTATTGGCCCTTATTCAGGTTTGGCCAGTATTTCTCCCTGCATCACTCCGCATTTTCTTAGCCCGACTTTTAACCACAGTCAACAGTCAGCCTTCCTATCCATCATACCCTCTACCCACTCCATTCCCACCCTTTCTCCTCCTCCTGTCGCCCCTTTCCCTCCCTCACTGGTCCTCAGGCTAGCAGGGCCCGCCAATCTTCCTCATCCAAGGCGGCACCGCGTTTCTCCTCGTCCCGGTGTGAGAACGGATCAATGTGCGGGCCTGCCACCTGGGCTCCTGACGAGGAGCGGCTGGAGCAGCTGTCGCAGGCGGTGGTTCTGCAGTGCGGCGAGGTGGTGAAGCAGGCCGCCCTGCCCGTCAAGAAGCCCGTGCAGAAACTCAGCCTCAACCACGTGCAGGTGCGTGTGTGGGGGGGGAGGAGGGGCATATTTGGATTGGATACAGGTGGGAAGGTGTAATTTAACGGAGGGAGGGGGAAACGCTGGAGCTAATTGTTTTTGCTGCACTGCTGTTATGACCAGTCACAAAACATCCGTATCCTATGCCTCCCCTCCCTCCCACGTGTCATTCATGTGGTGAGCAGGAGGAGGTGGTGCGGTGCCAGGCAGGGGTGGAGGAGCTGAGGGGCATGATGGCGGACATGCAGAGCGACATGCGTGCCATGATGGCGCTGCTCGACCGCGCCTTACCCTCCTTACGCGCCCAGGGCCCTCTCGTTCCCCGCTCGTTATCACCCCTGCCCGGGCAGCTACCGCTGGTGCAGCTACCGCTGGTGCAGCAACCGCTGGTGCAGCAACCCCTGGTGCAGCAACCCCTGGTGCAGCAACCCCTGGTGCAGCCGTGTCTGAAAGTGCGGCAATTAGAAGAGGAGGGCGAGGGGCTGGGGGAAGAGGCGGGTGGGATGGGCGTGGGGGAAGGAGCAAGTGGGAATGGGAGAGTGGTAGGGAGCAGCAGATCCCCATCGTCGAAGCGAGGGTCGGGGAGACGGGTGGTGTTCCAAGATGAGGCAGTGGAGGGCGGTGAGGGTGGTGTGGGCACAGACGAGTCATGTCAACAGCCGTTGATTGGAAACCCAAGGGACCATTGAACGTTTCTGAAACCGTGAGATCAACTCTGATGTTTGACCGTTTTCCTCTGATCCCCATAAGGCCCTTTCTCAGCCTTTGTACGTATATTGGGGATGCACTGATGCAGTGTCCGCTGCACCGCACATCTCCCCACTGCAGGTTGGTCTGGGCTCTGCTGGCTGCATCCTGTAAGAGTAGCAAAGGAGCACCTGTGGAGGCAGGGTGATGGTCCACCCAAGGAACTGACTGGACCCTGTTGCTGTCCTTCGTCACCAGTTGCGCCAACTGGCATGATGGACAGACAGTAGACTGACTCAGGCCTGCTGGCATCTTGCGCATCTGAAGATGCCAGATGTTTATACTCCCTTACAGCTCCAGACCATGCACACTACACTCCCATTGCAAGAATTGCATTTATGGGAAGCTGTACAGAAAATGAATCAAAAGCTATTGGTGCTGTTTTTTTTTTTTTTAGCGCAGCACCACGAAACCACACAACACAAACTATAGCGTACCATACACTGCTACAACACAAAACTGTTTGTACCCTATAGTATAGTGAACTGTTACAATGCGAGACTGTTAGTAATGGTTACATGCAGGTCCAAGCCAAAGTAAATTTCGTGCAATACACACAACCCTTCACTCGCACCGAGGGCTGCTTCTGCCACCCTTCTGTCCTTTCCCCACCCGCCGCCCCTCTGCCATCTTGCCACGACACCCGCCTGCCCAACACTCGTGACGCCTGCACCGGGGTTCTGCTCGAGCTCCCTCCTGCACTGCTCGGACTATCTCTAGCACCCCCCACCCTTTTCTCTCCCCTGAATGCCTCCCCACCGGTCCCACTCTCGCTGAGCCTTCGTGACACCTGCACCGGGGTTCTGCTCGAGCTCCCTCCTGCAGGGCTCCAACCATCTCTTGTCGCCCCCGCTCTTTTCTCTCCCTCATCTGGCCCCCCACCGCCCCCACTCTCACTGAACCTCCTAGGCACCTCTCTCCTATTGCCTGCTTGCTCCAGTGGCGGCGGGGAGTCTGTGAGTGACATGAGACGCCGCGGGGGCTCCGTGTAGGCACGCGGCATGCTTGACAATGCTGGCAGCCCCCCAGGGGTACCCGGAGAGTGGGCAGTGTTGCCTAGCGGGGGCGTGCGGGCGAGGAGGTCGAGCATGAGGGCGTGCATGTCCGTCATCATGGCACTCAGCTCCTTCACCTTTGCCTCGCTGCGCGCCAGATCCTCCTGCTCTCACAGGCACAGGGTGGAGGGTGTTGGGGTGGGGGAGGATGAAGGGATGTTGGGAAGGAGTCGTAAGAACGCATGGCTGGGATAGGAAGCCTGGACGGTTGATTGCGGGCGCTTTTCATTCCTCGGCCAATCACTGCAACCCCGACCGTGTTAGCACTCTCCCTCGCACATATTCGCAACACACCCCCACACCCTTTTCCTTCCGCACCTTGAGGTGAGCGAGGCTGAGCTTCTTTGCACTCTTCTTGACGGGCAGAGCGGCCTGCTTCACCACCTCGCCGCACTGCAGCACCACCGCCTGCGACAGCTGATCCAACTGCTCGTCGTCCGCACACTCTCTTGGGGCTGCCCTTGGAAAACACTTGTACGGTGACTCAGCCTTGTACGGCCCCACTCGCTGAGGAAAGATAGTGAAACACGGTGAGAGTGGTGGAGAGAGAGACGTGCGGGCGGGGCAGATTGATTGTGAGAATGTCATGCATAGAAGTCGGCACATCACATTTACTAGGCCTGCATGTCACAATACATGGCTTGCCACAGCGCATGGCCTAACACATGGCGAAACATATACCCTGGCACACCCACATGGCTTGGCACAACGTACAACATATGCCATAGCAGAACCGCATTGCATGCCACGACACATGGCACGCCCAAGTACTCATGCCGACAACCACGCCAGCAAGAACGCACCTCCCTGTCCTGCCGCCGCTGCAGGAACATGGAGAGTGAGATGACGTCAATGCGCTTCTCCCTCACTGTCAGCACGTGCTGCAGCCGCTCGCCAGTCTTGCTGGCGGACGGGAAGGTGGGGTGGTTCTCGGCGCAATCGAGGTGCGAGGGCTTGCATCCGCCGCCACTGCTGCAGGAGAAGATGGCCCGCGTTTGCCGCTTCATTGACTGCACGCGACGCATCCGCCGATCCGACTGCAAGAGGGATTGCTGGATTGAGGTCAGTCAAGAACGGTCAAGAGGTCAAGAACGTATTGTGCCAGTTATTGTTGGATTGACCAGCCACAAAAGTTTGTGTGTGAGGGCTCCACCACCTGACATACATTGTGTAAAAGTCCGCCGCACAAGCGTCCAGCCTACCCGGTGTCCAAACCGGTGGACAAGCACACTAGTACTACATGAATGGTGGATGGGCCATTCAGTGAAAGGTCATAATTGACCAGTTTTTCGCCCCCTGATCTTGCCCAAACGTGTGAGGTTGGTTCCCAGCTCTCACCTCGTCAACTCGAGTGTCCTTAGCGCCCAACTCTACAAGGCGGTCGAGAATGAGCGGATACGGCAGGTAGCGGCCACGCCAGCAGTTCCACTTGTACTTGAAGATGTGAGCAAGGTCAGCAGCTATAGAGGTGGCAACAAGCTTGCTGTCCTTGACGCTCATGAAGGCGTCGACGATGATGGCGATGAGGAAGTTGAGGAGGATGAAGACCATGAAGACGATGAACATGAAGAAGAAGAGCATCGTGGCTATGAGGTCCCATGATTCCATGCGTTGGAAAAAGTAGGCGGAGCCGTTGTCATTGAGAAGCAGTAGGAAGCACGAGAACATAGACTCCAGGACCGTGGAGAACTGCATAGGGCAGAAGGGGGAGGCGGGGGAGGGGGGTAGAAATTCTTAATGATGATGACGATGATAATAATGAATAATGAATAATAATAATAGTGATAGTAATAGTAGTGGTCACACTACTTCCTTGCTCGTGAGCTGCAGCAGCGTGGTCAGCTGTGCCTTGCTTACGTGGCCTCTATGGCCAACATTGCTGATATCTTTACCAAGGCACTTCAGCCTTGTGATCATCAGCGTTTTTGTACGATGCTAGGTCTTGTGCCTACTTGGCCTCACTTGCTCACTTCTTGACCTTGCTTGTACTGTGATCTATCTATACCTGCACTTGCTTGTTTACCTTTATATATAATCTTGCATGTGAACTGGCCTTGTGGCCTTGAACTTGTGCTCGGAATGTGTGGTGACGTTGTGATCCACCCTGAGCTTGCTGTGCTTTGCTTGACTGGTCTTGTGACCTCTTGTTCTCCCCCACTTTGCCTATGGGGGTGTGTCAAGTTTATATGCTATGGTCTATCTAGCCTATAGTGGGGCAGATACTATATGGTACAACATTTCTAGGTTTCCTACTTTTACCCACATTTCACCTAGTCATTTCATTCCTCATTCTCACAATAATAATAACAATAAGAATAATAAGTAATTATAATAAAAATATGTAAACGAATAATAATAAGTAAATAGTAACACACACACATACAGACACACAGACACAGACACACACACACACACACACGCCCACACACACACACGCCCACCCACGCACGCACGCACGCACACACGCGCGCACGCACGCGCAGGTTTGCCAAACTTGGTAAACTTAAACACAACGTTGTGCTCAAGCAAAAGAAAAAAAAGGGTGACGCAACACATTCTAAAAAAAAAAGGTAAGAAATGAGCCCCACACATACCATCTCAAGTGCTCCTCCGAAGACGAGGTAGGCATACATACTGAAGCAGAAGAAGACCGTAAAGGAGAGCAGGAAGAAGTGCAGCAGGGAGGGCGTGGCAAGGGCGAGGGAGCGCGTGATGACTCCAAGGTACGGCTGGAAGTCCATCACCTTGAGTAGGCGAATCATCATGAAGAAGAGACTGGGGAGGAACAGGGAGCAGGGAAGGGAATTAGGCGGGGCAAAAGAAAGAGTGTGGTTGATTCGGGATGGATGATCAATGGGTGATCAACAGCTAGACATGAGAAAACGAGCCAAGCCAAAAGGTTAAGTTGTTTTTTACTGATAGAAAAGAGAGTCGACACACGCACGCACGCGTAGGCGGCTCACTCACTTGATGCCCTGGAGGGAAAAGTAGATGCCACAGAGGTTGATGATGTTGCGCAGATTAGCGAAGGTCCGAGTGGCGCTGATGAAGCCCGTGGGCGGGTTGGGCACGGCCCAGTAGCGTGGCATCTCGAGCAGCGTGTAGTAGATGTCGTAGCGTGGCTGCATGTCAAATGCTGCCACGTGCCGCCACAGCACCACCCTGCCCACACGGACACACACACGTGCGCATGTGCAGGAAAGTGCGGGGAATTCGGGCATCTGGAGTGGACGGATGGACGTGCGATCGGAGCCGCATGCATTGCACGACAATGGCTACTATTGCCGCAGCTTAGCTGGTTTCTTACTAGATAACAACTGCGGTCACTTGCAGTGTGAGAGAGAGCATGTCGACCCGATTCCACACGAGACCAAAATAGCTGAGCACAGAGCCGTGGATCGCAGCGCGATCGGCCATCTCCTGCAGCTCGCCACACACATTCCAGAGCAGCCCCACCAGATACACCATCTCCAGCACCAGCCGTGCGATGTTGTCTGCCGATGCATCGTACATCGCCATGGCTGCCGGCTGGGACTTGATCGTTACCGCCATGCTGCTGCCCGTTGTCACCTTGCAACTCACAGTTGTGAGCACAAAAGTGAGCGTCTCGCCTGCCAACAGAGATGAAAGTGGTGGACGGATGAGACAAAGAGAGAAGGGGACGGGCCAAATCAATTACAGGCTGCTAAAGGAGAGAAAACATACATGCCTTCGGCACGACTCACATTTCTTTCACACCAGACATTCATATTTACTGGTATAAAACAACAACAAAGGCAAGTGCCATTGAATGAAGCTGACGTCGACAGTGCGCGTGCCATTGTCGATATAGCTTCCATCCACCAGGTAGTGCAGGCGACGCATGGCCGCCTCGTAGTCGAGATTTA